ACCGAAAAGCTTTCGGAAATTCTCATTTAAAATTCGCGCGCTGTATATTTTCCGATATTTTAAGTTTATGTAGTTTGGCAGCACTGTCCTTAATTACTATGCCAAAAATGAGCGCGATCTGTCAGACAGTTCGTTTACGGCAGCTGTTGAAACCAGTTCACCTCAGTAGGGCGTTGCGAAAAAAACAATGGAAAAAAATATTGAACAAAGAGTTTGCATCAAATTTTGTGTTTCGAACGAAATTTCGTGTGCAGAATCGTTGCGAATGCTACAAAAGGCTTATGGGGAATCAGTTTTATCGAAAACTCAAGTTTATGAGTGGTACAAAGCCTTCCAGGACGGTCGTACGACCGTCGAAGACATTTCGCAACGCACTACTGAGGTGAACTGGTTTCAACAGCTGCCGTAAACGAACTGTCTGACAGATCGAGCTCATTTTTGGCATAGTAATTAAGGACAGTGCTGCCAAACTACATAAACTTAAAATATCGAAAAATATACAGCGCGCGAATTTTAAATGAGAATTTCCGAAAACTTTTCAGTCTTAATGTATATATATAATATATATATAAACACATAGAAAAAGTCTGCGTTCATCCACAAAATTTTTATTAAATTTCGCATAACTTTTTTAATTTTTACTCAAATTGATTTTTATCTAATTTATTTTAACCAAAAAACCAACAATGAAGTACTAACTTAAAAATTAATAGTTACTCTTTAAAAAAAAATTAAACAATTATATGCAAAAAAACCAGTTTTTGAAGCAGTAAAAGGCTGCGTTCAGTTTTTAATATTTAAATTAAAACAATTACAATTCACAGAAATCTTAAATTTAATAGCCTGTGGGATAACCTTTACGTTTAATAATCTATTTTAAGCGTCTTTGCATAGACTCAACCAGCTTTGCAGAAACCTGTACGTTTATTTTTAGCCATTATTTCTTGATGATGTTTCGTAACATATCCTTGCCGGAAATGGTGTGCTGGTGAATCTTATTTTTCAAATAAACCCACAGATGGGAGTAAGGTGTGGTGATTCTGGTAGCGTTTGAAGTTGCCTGGAAACTTGGTTCAGCAGCCAAATCCGTACGATCGTTGCCTGTTGTTGTCCTGTTGAAACAAAAAGGTTGCCTCAAGCTCTAACATTCTGACATTTTCTTTCAATTTTTTTAGTATATTTAGATACTCATATTTATTCATTGTGTCTTGTATAAATTCCAGTTTGCCAGCATCATTATTTGCTATACACCCCAAACCATTACGCCTCCACTACAATGTTTTACCGTTGAAATTAAGGCTGTAAATCATAGGCTGTACATGATTTCTTCCACACAAGTTTTCTACCTTTGGTACCAAATATGCAAAATTAACTCTCATCGGAGAAAATAACTTATTTTTAGAACTCCATAGGTTTATTTACATGCTTTCTTGCAAAAGTTAATCATTTTATTCTATTATATCTGAATATGGCTTCTTTCTTGCAACCCGGGTATAATACTTCAAAACTTTCTGCACAGTATCAGAACATATTTTTTTTCAAGTATTGACATATTGTCAAGCTGTATGTGTAATATGTTGTAATGTATACTATGTATTTTTTAAATTATGTTCATTTACACTATTCGATGCGCCTCATTTTAACCATTGTCATTTGTAGAGCTCCCTATTTTGAACTACTTCTTCCATTACATTATGAGTTGATATAGCTTGGTTCTTGAGATATTTGTCATTAAAGTCGTAATCTATTTATTTTTATATCTATATAATATAAATAAACAATTTTTTATATAAAAAAAATGTTCATACTATTTAAAGAAAATTTATTTAATAAATAATGTAAAAATTACGTATATATATTGATTTATTTAGATTAAAATGTACTATATAGTTAGTCAATAAAAAAAAATTTAAATAAACATTAAATATATAAATTTCCTTATGTTTTTTAGCTCAATGTTCAACAAGAACGTTTGAAAATTTCTGGTCGCGATACTCGTCGAAGGCAGAAAGTTTTACAAACGCAAGTGAGGAATTTATGTGAAGAGCGCGCAGATTTTTTGGCGCAACTTCAAGATCAATATCGAGAAATAAATCATTTACGCAAAAGTCTTGGATTGGCCGAAAAAGAAAATGAGGATTTAGTAAAATCGCAAGGGGATGATCCAAATGATCCCAACAGGCCACGTTATACTACACTTGAACTGAAAGAATTATTAAATGAGCGTGATGAACTTTTGACAACGATTGAGAATTTAAATGATGAATTAAAAGCACTGAAACCACCAGAAAAACTATCGAAACGTAATATTGACTCAAGTACTGATGATGATGATGATGACATCGACTGTGATGATGAGTCACAAACAATTGAAGCATGCGCTAGCGGCACGTAAGTGTTAGATAATTGATTCGTTTTATTTTATTGTAAACATTTTTAAAAATGTAATATTTGCAGACCACCTAGCCATGATGCACCAGTACAAGGTCCGTTGCCTTATGAACCAGATGATGCACCATGGAAGAAGAGCACAGAATCCGGTATTCGGAAATTGTAAGTCTAAATGAAATACTAATTTGTTTTATTTAGTATTAAACTAAAAATATGTTTTTATTTTATTAAGCTTTCGAAAATTATTTTCGGATCCATCGGAAGCTAATAACACTTTTCCCAAACGTTCCTTCGCAACTTTGTCCAAAATGGCTTTGTCTGCTACTCCTGGTAGTACAGATATAAAGTAAGATAATTATGTATTGTATTTACGTACGAGGCATTTTAATATGGATCAATTAATTTCGTAAAGCAACATACATGCACGCGGAAAAACCAAAAATTACTTGTTGATTATCATATAGTTAAGTACATTTTTTTTACACTTATTTATATATGTATTTTATATATACTAACACAAACAGGTGCACAAGCCAAAAATAACCTAAGGTTACAAAATTTTTATTTATTTTTAATTTCGTTACTAATTATTTAAATATAACCAAAATCAAAGAAATTTAATACATTGTAAATTATTTTTACTGAATCAAATTTCGAATGTTTAACACTTCTATTTTATAAAATTTTTTGTTAATGTAGAGTGTTAATTAGTTACTCACAATTATTGTTAATATGTTTCAGATATGCTTCTGACACTCATTCTCTTAAGTTAAGTTTTTAAAATTGTTTTACATATTATAAAAAAAAATTGTAAATATATTAAGTTTCTTTGGTTTATGTTATGAAAATTTACTCTGAAATAATTTCCTTAAATTGTTGATAAAAATGAAGAGTGAGTTTTAAAATTTTACAAAATTTTATAGTATTATAAACTTTTAAACATAGTAGAGGTAAATTACAAATTATATATATATATTAAATAACAGAAGCAAAACATAAAATAAGCAAAACACAAAATAAACAAAAAAAAAAATACTAAAAAACATTCCATATAAAAGACCAATGAAGGCCTTTCGTTAGCAGCCTTAATTAATGTATACATTAACTTATCTGTTTTAGAGCTTCCATTTTAATTTTTAAAAAATGAATCTTTTTTGTATTTCAATTGCAATTAAAACAAAAGAATATTTTAAAAATTTAAATTAATTAAAATTGAACTCTAAAATATTACGAATACGCAAAATTTAGCGAATATCTTACCAAAAATAGAGATTTTTAATAGAAGTTATAATTATCGATATATGTAGTATTGTTCGTTGCAAGCATAAATTTAATCATCAATAATGTAAAATTATTGACATATATATTATTATTACCAATTAGCTTTCAAACTATAATTAGCCAAATTGTTATAATTGCATCAAGATCTCTACTTTTTAACCAAGTGTTTACATGAAAATTCGTATTTCGAATACTTTTGATTTTTTTTTTGTATTTATTTTGTTATTTCATATTAATAGAAAACAACTAACAAACACAATTCTTAAAGAATAAGCAAAGAAGTTTATGTTGAAAATATATACTAAATTCTTTTAGAATTTAGCAATAATTGATTTTCAAAACATTCTTCCGTATTACTAAATCAGAATTATTTACTAATCATTTTACTGTTTTTATGTATTTAAATATTTTCTATGTGATTTATTAAAATATTTGTGTTAATATATAATTAATTTTTATATAAATATAATTTTTTAAGTTCGAGGTTATTGCAAAAAATAGTTAAAAAATTTTTAAATTATTAAAAGTTATTCAAAGTCTAAACCCTAAACATCATATCAAAACCGAATATTTTAAAAAATTTTTAAAATAAAGGTATATATATTTTTTTAAAGTTTCCTGAAAACAAATAGTTACCATTTTATGGAAATATGAAATTTGTGCCAAAGGAGTCAAATTGTTTTAATGCCATTTCCATATAATTTGTTAATAATTTAAATTTGAAAATATTATACCGTTTGATATTATATTTATATACTTTTTAAAATAAATATGGTATTTAATTTACAATATATATATATTCTTGTATTAAAAAAATTATTCATAAAATACGTTCCATATTGAATAGGTTGTTGTTTTAAGGCAAACTAAAATCAAGTAAAACAGATTTTATTTTCTAAATAGAGATTAATGTTTCCTAATTTCAAATAATATTTTAATGTTTAATGTAGAAAGTGTTCTGTTTAACGTTTATTAGATATTTCAGTAATATTTTCTAGACGGTAATATTGTGTCTTATTAAGTGTTATTAATAATATTTGTTCCATTTTAACTAATCCTTTCCTAGATATATATATTTATATTTATATATATATTTTTTTTTCTAGTTACTAAAGTCAATCTTTAGTAACATAACATTTCTAGTTGTTTTCATATTTGTGAATTTTATATGCTAATTTTAATTTCTTGTGCTCAAAGTTTTTGAAGATTGTGCTTAAAATAGAATAGAATTTATTTCTTTTTATTTAACGTATATGTATGTGTCTTAATAAGAAAGAAAAATAATGGCTAGTAAATAAGTGTTAACCCTTATTTACTAGCCTCAAATATAACGATGATATACATAAAATGTTGAGGATATTTAGACGTAGCTCAGTGATTTTGTATATGGTAAAGTGGCAACATGACAAAAATTTGAAGGCTGTTTTTTATTCTATTTTCGGTAAAGTTGTAAAGTGAAACTGTCAAAGCGGCTTATTTTGTTTTTATTTTTTTTTTTTGTGGTATACAAAACAAATATTTGTTCTTTTATTTAATTTTTTACTTATATAAATATTTCTTTATTTATTATATTATATTTTTAAAACATATAAAATTTGAAATATAATTTAAGGTCGTGTGCGAGTTAGGGTAAGTTGCGTTCTAAATGAGGAAAATTCTAAGTTGTGTCGATAATGTATTGATGTGTCGATACGTGTTGATAAATGGCAAAATGCGTGCAGTGCAAAAAATCCTAAAAAATCTCCCATTTGGTTTAGCATCAACTTAGCCTAACTCGCACACGTCCTAAATATAGGTCGTGTGCGAGTTAGGATAAGTTGCGTTCTAAATGAGGGAAATTCTAAGTTGTGTTGATAAATGGCTAAATGTGTGCAGTGCAAAAAATCCTAAAAAATCTCCCATTTGGTTTAGCATCAACTTAGCCTAACTCGCACACGTCCACAATTGCTAAACTTTACAATAATAAGAGTCAGCTAATGTTTCACCAAATATCAAAAAATAATCAGATCAGTCCATATACACTGAGTACTTTTCTTATAGATACTACTGTTAAAAAGTACACTCCTCATGGGGAAGCAAATGTTTTTAAAATTATGTATTGTTTTGTTTAATATTTTTAACAATTTAATCATTTTTGTTGTCTGAGCAATAATAGCCGATTATGATATTTATCAGTGTAATAATTAAAGAACCTAAAAACATACTTCAATTAAAAAGCTTGATATCGTAAATGTTTACATTCTTGTAATGACAGCAAAGAATTTATACTAAAAAATTTAACTGAGTTATGTTTGTATATCTTAAAATATATATTTGTTTTATGTTTATATATCTTAAAATATATATTTGTTTTATGTTTATACATAGTTAGAACAAATTAAATATATTTTTCTGATTTTTATTTAATTATATCTAACTAAAATAAATAAATTTGAGCAATGAGGTACACACAGCGCTTTGTTTAGCACGTAATATCGTAAATTATGATATATAATAGAATTGCCAATTCTTATTGTTATTCTGCGCACGTTCCTATATTTCTAAATGCTTGTATATATTTATAGCATCAATTTCGACTTTGTTTAATTTAACAGCAGAGTTTCAAACCAACAAGTTTGTTCGAAATGCTTCGTTTTAGTACTTTGTGCTACTTCTAAACCATTTTGCATTCTGCTAGAGAATGCAATGCATTTCAAACAGTTTTTAGTATAGTGATATACTATTTTCCTTATATTAGGAAACCAAAACGTTTTAGAAATTAACTTTACGACTTTATCAGTTCCTATGTGCCCCATTTCGTCATGGTACTTATATGACACAAGCGATACCATCATTTGTGGAACGTAAAAAGAAAGTAGTTTGTTTTTCGTATTTTTATATAGCACACCGTTAAGCATTTCAAATATTGATTTAAGCTCGCGTATGTTATGATCTTTATTCTGACACATAATCAAAATTTCCTCAAATGAGTTCGTTTCGATTACCAATATAGGTATTTCTGTTTTCTTTTAGATTGCACAAATGTTCCTGAATGTTTTCTATAGCAATCATTATATCATCTAGATAAATAATATTTTTTTCACTCCTAATCATATCAGGGAATACCTTATATACAAATCTTTGAAGTCTTGACTTAGCATTTTTTAACCCGAATCGCATTTTTAAGAACTCTGTCCAATTGGGATAACAAATCATGTACATTTAAATCTTTCTTCATCTATGTACATATGAATAAATCCATTCTTCATGTCTATTTTAGTAAACCATTTCTTATGAGCTGATTTGTCTAATAATTCATCTATTAACAGAGTAGGATAATTAATATCAAAATTGATTTGATAACTTTATATCTGGCACGATTATTGTTCTGATTGGTTTATTAGCATTAACCTTTACAGATGAATTTACCACGGTATCACTTGCACCAGTACCATTTCTGGTATCTTTCGGTTGAATTTTACCCTTAATTTCTTATTTCATATATTACAAAAATGACTTTTAGTACATCTGGCGTATTAGTAAATGTATTTACTTTCATTTGTGTTTCAAGAACGGTGACGTTATGTCTAATACTTGCAAATGTATCATTTATCATATTTTTGAATATGTTCTGCGGTATAATTAGCTACATTTCTATCATTTAGATCTACATTTGGCAATCTGGTTGAGGCAAAGTTTTGGCTCTTTACAGCTGATACGATTTGGTCAATTATATCCCAAATGTTGGAGCGCTTTAAGTTATTTTTAGTCGAGACTTTTTCATTACTTTTTTCATATCTAAAAACGTTTTTGATTTTAAAGTTTTTTATGTTGACTCTGGTTATGTCAGTAGAATCACAGTCTACTGTGGACTCTGGTTATATCAGTAAGTAAAAGTCCACAATTTTAAATCGCTATTTGTAAGGATGGAAATTTTTACCAATTTCCAACCTACATATAACTAGTGCGCAGTTCATACCTGAAATAAAAATTGGGTAATTTTTATATAATATATCAAAGGTAAACAACTTACTAAAAGCCACCCCCGCATGCACGCAACTGCATCACAATGACTCAAACCTAAGATTGCATTGAAAATTTAAAAGAATGCAAAATATATTCAAATAAATAAATATTGTACCTACCTTATTTATTTATTATTTAAACTTATACTTTTTAATATTTTTCATATTTATTTTATTTTAATAAATAAATATAAATATTTAAAGCTGCCACTACCGACGCTAAGCTAAACACGTTTCAAAACAAAACAAATGCACAACTCAAGAAACGTCAAAAAAAGCTTTTGTACAAAGAGCTTTGTGTAAAAATTGATACGCGC